TTACATCACAGACATCTATTGTTTTTTCAGCCTACCACCACTCCCTTCTACTGAGACTTGTACCTCTTCCTACTTCAGGCATGTGGTTCTTAGCGGAGACTGCCAGGAGCTTATATGACCCTGCCCTCTGGTCACAGTTGATTGGCCCAGAGATCTAAATAGGCCAATCAGAGTTTTTCCCTTGGATTAATTTTCCTAACTGGAACTGGAAAATATAATCATTCTCTGTGATGACAGGAACTCTGAAATAAGGAAAAACAGGAGCTTTTGTGGTCATGTTCCTCACCTTATGGAGAAAACCAGTCCTGAGTGAAAGAAAATTAAGGTGATATGCAGACAAAGGCAGACACAGAGATAGAAAGAGAGATCTGGTGGTATGTGAGTCCCTGCTTGTGGAACCCAGCTGCATCCCTGCCTTTCTGCAGAATGATTTCAGTGACATGGGAAATCATGCCCTAAAAAACCTGTAGCAGATGCCATGCCCATAGCCCATAGTACTCATCATTCTAGCACTGCATACACTCAAGGCTGAAACACTCCATGTTGGCCTCCTTCGCTTCCTTGAATCATTTCCCCATACCCCTATTAGTGCTCCCTGGGATCACCTCCCAATAAACCACTTGCACCCCCATCCTTGTTTCAGGGTCTGCTTCAGGGCAAAACCAGACTAAAACATGGTCCCTCTTCTTACCTAGACGAATAAAATGTGGGTTTTTGTGACTTGCAACCAAGAGTTCTACCTATTACCTCATTCTGGGATGATTCCCAAAATCTGTTTGGAATTCCTCATCTCCACTCCAGTGACTATGTCATAAATATACAGATTTCTCTAAAAAGTTTAATGGTATTCTTTTCTTTCTTTCTTTCTTTTTTAGAGAGGGCAGGGGAAGGGACAGAGGGAGAGGGAGAGGATCTTAAGCAGGCTCTACACCCAGCACGGAGCCCAACATGGGGCTCCTCTCACGACCCTGAGATCATGACCTGAGCCAAAATCAAGAGTCGGACGATCAACCAACTGAGCCGCCCAGGCACCCCAAAAAGTTTAATGGTATTCTTGAAACTTAACAAAGTTTAATGGTATCCTTAAGTTTGACACAACACACTGCAATTCTATAACAGTTCCTGTGACTAATATATGAACCGTGCAAAAGAAGGTTAAGAGTCAGAGATGGCTGAACTTGCAAGAAAGAATGGCACAATCAAGATGGCATGGCAGGAAGATGCTTCTGGAACTGAGACCCTCAAGCCTCATGTCCCACAGTGAGTACCAGGACAGCTTGAAAACATAGTGGCAGTAAGAGATTTACTCTCTCCTCCATATTTCATCCTCCACCCCATCCAAAGTGCTCAATAAATATTTGATAAACAAACGACGAATTTATGCCTTCCAACAAAACTTACCAAAAGAAACCAAGGCACATTTCAATGCTGCAACCATAAGCATCACAGTGACCATAACGAAAATTTTCTCTAGCCAACCATCTCCACCAAATTCTGCTGATTACATGAAATATGGCACTTCGGGGATGTTTCAGTGGACAGGGAAGACTGTTTGTTGCATGACTGCTAGCTATTTTTTCTGTGCTTCCAGAATATAGAGATATGTATAGATGGCCCCAAAAAGGGCCTAAATGATTACAATTATATAATTGTACATAATTCCCAAAGGGCCAAACCACTTAGTACAAGTATTCCAGTTCCCTTGGAGAATCTACACACCAGGTACTCAAGAGTCTCTCCTTGGAAAGGCCCAATTCAGGGATCAACAGCAACTCTGCTCTGGGTCTGGCTTTCTCAAGAGTAGTATACACTGTTTATTGCCACCAGAGGTATCCAAGGACACAAACTAAAGATAATAATGCTTTATTGCCCCTCAATCATCTGTCCCTCCCACATGCTGGAATGCCAAGGAATACCAAGTCAAATTTGTCCAAGCACAAAATAGCATCATTGGCATCATCAGATCAAATAACACAATTTTCAGTGGCAATTTATCATCATACTACAAGTAACCAACCACTGTTAAGCACTTACACTGCGAGGGACCCATGTAAATACTTTACCTGCTGCATTAGCCAGGATAGACTGGGTTATGCCACAGTAACAAATGAACCCCAAAATCTCAATGGCTTGGCAACAAAGGTTGACTTCCCATACTCCATTCCACCATGGATTGGTTGGGGACTATGCTCCATATGGTCACTCAGAGACCCAGACTGATGGAAAGCCTACCATCTTTTTTTTTTTAAGATTTTATTTATTTATTAGAGAGACAGCATGAGAGGGGGGAGGGTCAGAGGGAGAAGCAGACACCCCACTGAGCAGAGAGCTGGACGCGGGCCTTGATCCCAGGACTCCAGGATCATGACCTGAGCCAAAGGCAGTCGCTTAACCAACTGAGCCACCCAGGCACCCGAAAGCCTACTATCTTAACACAAGACTTCCAGTTAATGGGGTGGCAGGGGATGAGAGAGTGAAATAGTTAGGTACCAGCCCTAGACAGCTGTAGGCTAGAAGTGATGCATGTGGCTTCCACTCAGCACATTGGCTGTAATTACAAAGGGGCTGGGAAATGAGGGGGAGAACATGGATATCCCATGAGCAGTAAACATTCCTACCAATGTACAACATCTCATCAAAGTCTTACAACCTTAGAAAACATATCATTATTCCTTTTTACAGAGGAGAAAACAGAGACATACAGAGGTTAAGGGACTTGTGCCAAGGTGTCATAGATAGTAAGTGGCAGAGTCAAGATGTGAACCCAAGCTTCAAAACATGCTCAACCTGGAAAGCTTCAAAACACACTCAACCGCAATGCTGCACACTCATCACAAAATTCTATGAAAATCCCTCAAATAGCAAAATATATGCTAATTAATCAGAGAAGCCAAGTTATATAAATACAAAATAGAGCTCCCCTGGCACACCACTTCTTCACCCAAAGATTCAACCTAAGCAAAAACCTGGAACAGAATTCCAGGCAATTTCAGCAAGGGGGAAACAGGTTCTCCATCTGGGTCTGATATGCAGCCTTCAGTACACCCACGTCAAGACAAAAATCTTCCAAAAGCTTCCCCTGAATACCTGAACAAACCTTCAACTCCTGTCAGTTGATGACATCTTTATACAAGGCATAGATCTTTCTAAAAGTGCAAAGGTAAATGTCATCCATGTACCTGCAGGATGAGGCCGGAGGCAGATGTTGTCATATCCAGATGAGTGGCTGAGTGACAGTGCTTACAACAGGTTAATTCCTCCAGCCTATAAAACTCAAGCCTAGCACTACCTCCTCCGAAGAACCCTCCCCTACCCAGCTTCTCCAGGTTGGGACCCTCTACCTCTGCTCCCACATCACTTCCCATGCACACCTCCAGCAGGACCCTTCCATTGCATGTAACACTTTACTTGTCTGCCTGTCCCCTGGACTCTGAGCCACCCACAGGCAACCTCTCATTTATATTTCTGTATCTCTTACATCTAGGACATAGTACGTGCTCATTTTTTTGCAGATCCTTAAAAGTATTCAAAGCAATTTGTGCCCTTGAGGAATTTAACACACCCTCCCATGCCCAGCAAACATGTGGTGGCCAAGTAGGAAAACTACAGTCTCAGCCTCACATCTGCTGTGTGACCATGAAGTGGTTCCATAGCCTCTCTGAGCTGTTTACTTAGCTACTAAGTAAAAACCACCTCACAGATATATTGCAAAAATTAAGTGAAAAGCAAAGGGTATTCAATTCATAGCAGCACTATTCACAATAGCCAAAAGATGGAAAAAAAAAATGTTGCTCAGCTGGTGAATGGATATATAAAATGTGGCATATCCACACTATAGAATACTAATAAGCCATGAAAAAGGATGAAATGTTGATGCACACTACAACATGGATGAACCTTGAAAACATTATGCTCAGTGAAAGAATCCAAACACAAAAGGCCACATACTTTATGATTCCATGTATATGAAATGTCCAGAGGAGATAAATCCAAGCAGACAAAAAGCAGATTAGCGGTTACCAGAGAATGGGTAAGGGAGGGATGAGGAGTAACTGTGAATGGGTATAGGACTTCCTTTTGATGGGATGAAAAAGTTCTGGAACTAGATAGAGGTAATAGTTGCACAACATTGTGAATGTACTAAATGTCACTGAATTTGTACACTTCCGGAAGGTTAAAATGGTAAATCTTAAGTTTATCTAGCCACAGTGACTTCTTTAAATTCTTATGAGAAATTTCCAACCCGATAACCTACCTCGGATTTTTTTTGAAAAAATTAAATGGAATAGATAATGTGTATATAGTTCCTGGCCCTCTCAGGCCCCCAGTCCATGGTGGTTGCTTTCAGAGTCATAAGGAACAATAATCTGTTTTCCCTATAAAAAAACAGAATATACTGAGCAAAGGAAAGCACCAGTCTAATTTGTTCCTCAAATTTTCACAATAGTGGAATTGATACAAAAGTCCAAAATATTTCACATGGTTTGACGTTTTTTATCATGGTAAAATATGCACAACACAAAATTTACCACTTTTGGGGCACCTGGGTGGCTCAGTTGGTTAAGCGACTGCCTTCGGCTCAGGTCATGATCCCAGAGTCCTGAGATCGAGTCCCACATCGGGCTCCCTGCTCAGCAGGGAGTCTGCTTCTCCCTCTGACCCTCTTCCCTCTCGTGCTCTCTATCTCTCATTCTCTCTCTCAAATAAATAAATAAAATCTTTAAAAAAAAAAAAACAAAAAACAAAATTTACCACTTTTACCATTTTAGAGTGTACAGTTCAGTGGCATTAAATGCATTCACAACGTTGTGCAATCATCACCACCATCCATTTCCAGAACTTTTCATCACATAAAACATGACATCTTGTTACATTCCAGGTGTTTCGATCCACAACAGAGCTCAGGCACAATTATCAATTTGGACTTTGTTCAACCACAGATAAAAAAGGGAGAAAAGGGGAGCAGGCCCATGAACTCTGTGATGGATGGTGTTCGCGGCATGACAGGGCTCCGGGTCCTGACACTGCTGCTGCCTGCCCTGCTGGGCTGGGCCAGCTGCCACCCTGTCCCCGGGAGGAAGAACTTCAACAAGCTGCTGCTGATCTCCTTCGATGGCTTCCGCTGGAACTACGACCAGGATGTGGACACCCCCAACATGGACCGCCTGGCCCGGGAGGGCGTGAAGGCCAAGTACCTAACACCACCCTTTGTGACAATGACCTCCCCATCCCACTTCACCACCATCTCCGGTAAGTTCCGCTCTGCAGCCAGTCCACCAATGCTAGTGGAAGCCCCAGTGTCTGTCATTCCCTGAAATAGAGCCCATTCTCAGTGAGCTCTTGGGAGACTGAGGCAGTTCATGCAACTGGAAGAAGCACTAGCTTAGAATATTCTGGTTTCTAAAACCCACTGGCTACAGGGCACCAACCTGCAGACACAATCAGGACCACAGCTACAGCCTCTCCAGCCCCTGTTCCCTGCTCCCCAGGCCCACCCACCCTCCACCCTGCCTTATATACAGTGGCTGGTGATCTTTTCCAAAACTAAATCATTAAAAGAACTTTATAAAAATAATAAAACATTAAACTTTAAAGAACTAGATTAGATTAGATGACTCCCTGGCTTATTATTGAAGAGCTGGAGGGACACCAATGCTCTATGGGTCTTTTGGGGTTTGTTTGTTTGTTTTTTTTTTTTTGGTTTTTAAAGATTATATGTATTTATCTGAGAGAGAGAGGGAAAGCATGAGCGGGGTAGAGGGGCAGAGGGAGAGGGAGAAGCAGACTCCCTGCTGAGCTGGGAGCCCAAACATTGGGCTTGATCCCAGGACCCCGGGTTCATGACCTGAGCTGAAGGGTAGACATTTAACCAACTGAGCCACCCAGGTGTCCCATCAATGTGTTCTTTGAAAAGAATTCAAATCTTATCTTTCTGTGGCTCAGAAAGTCCCACGACCTGGCCCCTGACCCACTCTCTCCTGGCCTCTCTCATCTTCTCTTCCCCTCACAGAGTTCTCTCCAGATCACAAAGGCCACCTGCCTGTGTCTCCACCCAGCCCCCACCTGCCTCAGGGCCTTTGCCCTTGCCAGTCTCCCCAGATCACCTGGAGCATGTAGTCCAGGTGAGACAGGGGAGACAGACATTAGACAAGTAAATACACCAATAGATCTCATTACAACCAGGAGAGGCACTGAGAAGGAAGAGGAGAGTTTCTCCAGGAGAAGATAGCAAGGGCAAATTGACTTGAAATTGGAGGCAGGGAAAGGCTGAAATGGGACGGTTGAACTGAGAACTGAAAGAGACCTCAGGAGACAAAGAGGAAGGAAAAGTATTCCAGGCAGAGGGAAGGGCATGTTCAAGGTCTCTGTAAGAGGAAAGAATGTGGTCGTTCCAGAATCCCAGTTGCCAAAATGCGAAGGATTTCACTATAGTAAGAATAAGAATAGCTTCCATTCCTCCAACATAGGCCTGAAGCCGGGCATGTGCTACGTGCTCTGACTTCGACATCTCTAATACAAAAATACTGCAAAGCAAGTGCTGTCCCCATTCCACAGATGAGAAAACTAAAGCTCAGAAAAGCTGAATAACTCATCAGTCACTGGGCCAAGAAGCGGGCAAGGGGGAAGCCAGGTCTGGAACGAGTGTGTCCCTGGCCACATAGAACTGGTTCTGCCCAGCTATGAGCCTGGGATCCACAGACCCCCCTCATGGGGTAGGGAGTGGTGCCTGGCAGCATGAGCCTCACCCCTACCCAGAGAACCACTCCCTTAGGGTCCAAGGCAGCTCTAGGAGCCTCTGAAATGATACACAAACTGCTGGTACCTTTTTGGGAAGAGGGTTTTATCACTTCCATCAGACTCTCAAAGGGGCCCAGAAACTTAAAAAATAAAGCTGAACAACCACTCAGAGGGAGATTTGCTGAGAGAGATTTTCCTACATGTAAACTCTTTGAGAGGCAAGTCATTTGGGAACTATTAGTGCCAGGAAACAGGAACTAAATAGCCCTTTTCTGGAGAAAGCGAACGCTACTTCCCAGTGGCATTAACTTCATAACATTTAAAAGATTTCCCATGGGCAGATTCTGGGTCCCTGAACACTGAGAATATGATGGGCACAAAATATTATAAGGCATGCCCACCTTTTATTTATTCCCAGAAGGTTTCCAATGAGAAGATATAAACAGTAAGAGCAGATTTTTTAAAAATTATAAAATCACTGCACCTCCTCTTCTACATTCATTGCCAGTGGGGAATGGAAATGGGTACAGTTTCAATGCAGAGTAATTTGGCAACAGCCAATACAATCAGGAACATACAAATTTCCTTATTTGGCAATTCCACTTGTAGGACTTTATATATAGGCTGGGTGGAAAACGATATACACTGTACATACAAAGTTATTCATTGCATTGGCATTTGTAACCACAGGAAAAATAGAAACAACCTAACTAGCCACCCAGAGGGGAATGACTAAATAAAATACCAGACATCCATAGAATGGCATAATCTGTTACCATTAAAAGGAAAAATGAGGTAGTTCTTTGTGCCCTGATAGGAAGCTATCTCCAAAATGGATTAAGTGACAAAAGCAAAATGCAAAGAATGTGTGTATATATGTGTTCATATAATATAAATGTATGCATATGTGCATACAATTACTTATAGATGTATAGAGGACCTCTGGATAAATAAACAAGAAATTGGCAATACTGGTTCCTCCAGGGAGGACAGGGGGTGGGAGACTTTGAATTGTACCCCCTGTGTACTTTTTAGATCTTGGACCATGTAAAATGTATTGCCTATAAATAACAAAATGATCTTTTTACTTCACCCACTGTGGAAAAAAACATGTTTCTTTGAACCCTCTATTTATAACCAGACCTGCCATTTATTGAGCAGGTGAACATTCACTCTGCTTCAACTTTAAAAAATGTTTTTCAACCCCAGCACTATTGACATTTGGGACCAGATTTTTCTCTCGTGGGGCAGGGGGGACATCATGTACACTGTGGAATGCCGAGCAGCATCCCTGGCCTGTAAACCCACTAGATGCCAGGAGCACCCCCTCCTCCCAATGTGACAACAAAAAATGTCTCCAAACATTGCCCAATGTCTGCTCAGGGAGCAAACTGGCCCCCAGCTGAAAACTCCTGCCTTGAATGGTGGAACCTAATACCTGGCTTATAAAAATGCTAAGCAGGTACCATCATCATCAGATCCTTCAATTCTTGTAATGGTGATATGAAGTCAGGACAGTTACCCTCTTTACAGGTGAGATATCCGAGGTTCAAAGATGTACAAATCTTTTCTGGGACAGAAGTTAAGATTCAAATTTAGCCCTGGATGGTTACAGACACTGATTCCTCAATCCCTGCCTTCCAGCATGACTATGACCCACCAGCATCTTTGATTCTAATTAAGTAATCATTCCAAACCCCTGTGAATGTTGCCCATCCTCAGAGCTTCTAGGAAACATATATATCCTCAATATGCTGTATTAATGAAACAGAGGCCACCCCAGGCCCAACAAAACCCCCAGCATTTGTCTTCATGAGCTGGGTTCAAGCAGACCTCTGTCTGACTCCAATGTGGTAAAGAATCATCCATAATAGAAAAAATAATGAATAAAATTCGTGCTGCCAGCACCCAAAGACCTCATCAGATTCCAGGGTGTAGGCCTGACACAAAATATGATAAATGGGGCTCTCTTAGCTCAACAACTAATTAATTGGTGTTCTTATGTACACCTCTGGGCAATTTAACAGGGAAAAGAGGTGATGAGAAGGAACCTGTCGCACTGTTTCATATCTGAGCTGCATACGACACACAGCTCCAACACAGGCTCAGGTCCAAGAAGCCATGTGGCCACTCCTCTGAGCTTCCTAGACAGAGTTTAAGGGGCAGGGGCCAGGTCAAGGCCAGGAGAAGCCGTGTCCCAGGCACAATGATCCATGAGCAAGCCTCCCTAAGACAGCTGACTTAGCTGCCCAGGGTCAGAACTCTGGGCCTCCTAGAGCATCTGCTGCCCTCATGTGGGCAGCAGGGCCTCCTCATGCCTGGGGGCTATCAGGTGTGTGGATATCTCTCCCTCACCCCAGAGCCAAGGTCATATGACCCTCATCAGTTTTCCCTGCTGCTGGTAAAGAAAGTCTTCCTGGAGAGTGAAGAGGTTTTTTTTAGAGGGTTTCCAACATATGCATTCCTTCAATCAACAATTACTGTTTTAGCATCTCTGTTGGGCCTGGCAGCAGGAACAGTGGCCAACTACACTTAAGTGTCAGGGCTTGCCCCACAACACAGGCTCATGTCCCCTTGGTTCCCAGATCCCACAGATCTTTTGGGGGATGTGTTTCCTCTTCTTTGTAGCTCTGCCAGGGAGAAAGAGGAAGAGCTCTTTCTTGTGGATCCTTCTGCCTTTTTGTTTCCTTTCTCTGACAGCTCAGGGAATCAGACAGGGAAATGTGCTCTCACTCAGGTGAGCACCCAAGTGTGCCCCCCAAGCCTTTTTCTGCACCCTAGCTCCCCATAAGGGGCAGAGCTTAGCAGAAATACCCGCTTTCCATGTTTTCTCCCATGGCACCCTCTCCTTGAAGCAGGGAGGAGAGAAATCCTGAGCAAGAAACTCAGGGATGGAGGATTTCTTAAAAACTGGCTATTTATTCAAAATATCCTACCTTATCACCTCTCCATGTGAGACAATCTTTGCATCCTTACAAAGAATGTGTATTTTTCCTCCAACTATTGGCCCTCCCATCACCACTGCAAGAGGTGGAAGTGGGGCACCTATCTAGGATCAAAGCTCCCAAGTGCAAAGCAAGCCTTGGCTCTGGGGGAAACATTTTCCCTCCAGCTCCCCAAAACTGGGCACTGGGCAGGCCTGCATTTTAATCAGCTTCATCCCCTCCCCATCAAATGAGCCATTACTTCCTCCAAGTTAATTTTCTTCTTCCCACCTGGCTTCATCACCCGCCACCCCCAATATCCATGTCTCTCACACAGACACACACAGACACACACAGACACACACACACACACACACACACACAAACATGGGCTTGGCCACAGGACCTGGAAGTTTCTTAAAATAGAATGATGTATTAGTTTTCTATGGCTGCAGAACAAATTACCATAAACTTAACAGCTTAGAACAACACCCATGTATTATCTTTCAGTTTCCATGGGAGAGAAGTCAGCACCACTGAGCCTCTGCTCAGTGTGTCACAAAGCTGCAATCAAGGCGTCAGCTGGGC